AAACACAATGTAACTGCTTCTTTGTTTGTACAAATATAAGAGACTCTACTTTCCTTTGTTTTGAACCTTTTTCACGATCAACAAAAAAAAAGGTTCCTTGGCGTAAAAGTAGGGAAACGTTCTAACCCTTTGTAGTGTATAGGGTGGCGCCCTTTTTATGTTGTTTATTCACTCTTATACGTTGTAAATCTTCTCCCCCTATAGTAAGGAGTAAATTACGTATATACAAAACAATGAAAGACTTATCGAGGGTGTAGTGTCGTTTCTGAGAAGGTTTCAGCGTCTACGAAAACTATTATACCACTATAAACCGGATTTTAGGGATTATAAAAGTTTTAGAATTAAATTTTCATATTATATCCCGTTGATAATAAATGAGTTTTCTTATTAAAACCCTGTTACAGTGGGTGAATTCGACCGTATTACGTACATTTCCTCTCCGCACAGACACGTACGTTACTTCAACAAAACCCAGAACGTTTCCCTATCACGGAAAACAAAGAAAATGTTTTTTCCTTTTGTGATTAAGAAGGATCAACAAAAAAGGATCATCATTAGAAAGTTGAAACATAAGAACATTAAGGTTAAATAAAATAACCCTTAAATAGCGGGGTCAAAGGGCGGAGACGTTTTTATTAAACAAGCTATACATAAATAAATACACACAGAGAGTGTGAGCCGACTACTCCCACCGTTAGTTATACCACTCCAGGCAGTCTGTTGGGAAAAGTGACTATAGGGTCTTCTCTACTTACCTGACTTCCGTCCACAGCGTACACAGGGACTATCTTTTTTTTTTTTTTTTTTTTTTTTTTTTTTTTTTTTTTTTTTTTTTTTTTTTTGTCACGCAACATGTGACAGACTGTTCTGTGTGGTGGTTATGTTGTAAACGTGTGTAAGTTGGTTCGGACAGTACCACGCAAGTTCCACGTACACCATTATGACGTCGAGGGTTGGAACATCTCTGTGACCGGTCAGTCAGGTCGAAACCACAGCTCTTCTCTCTGTAGCGACGCGTCTTTCTCAGATTGTGTGTGTTCTGTATGGTGTGTTCTGACCCATCGTGCTGTGTACACTAGTATGAGAGTCCACCGCTAGGTGTCGAAAAATTTTCTATTTACCTCTGTTTTATTCCCTTTAGTCCTCTCTCAACAATGGACCATACAAAGACTACAACGCATCGGCCTTCTGACTTCCACCACAGGTAGGGTAGGTAAGAATGGAGAAGCCAGCTCGAGTGCGCTAGAATTTGAAAGTACACAACCGAAAAAAAATCTGCCCCTTCCTTCAGACTTCCTTACAGAGCCCCTCCTCCAACACACACAAACGCGCACATGACCAATGAGGGCACGAGATAAGTTTGTGCAGAGATGGAAGGCTGACAGGCAGGTAGGCCATCCAGTTATTTTAGCCGGGCCGGCTCAGATGATTGGTCGTGCTTTTTACAGCGCTACAGCTTCCACAGATGAAAAATGTTTATGTATTTTTTGTCAAAGCATTTCATATATTCATTGCTATCGGGATGTTAAGAGCATTCCATTGAATATAACAAAAAGCGTTTCTGAAGTGAATTACTTACCCCACCTTTAATGTTTGTAAAGTTATTACATCTGAATATTAATCCCAGGCTCCATATTCGTTTTTTCCTACAACTGCCCATTATTACATAATAACATGTTACTTATTGGATTGGTATTAATGAGTTTGACTCCATCTTTGATACGGAACATATAGGTGGATTTTGAAACCAGCATAGCTGAGAACCGCTTCACGATCAAACCTGATGTGGACCCAGCAATCGATGACAGTAGGTATCTCAAAACTGAAAGAGTGGTATAATAATTTTTAAAAAAACCTGATCCAAAATCTATGTGTTTGAGGCTTTGTTTACAAGTTTATATTGTTTATTGATTTAAAGTCCTAACAGTACTCCTTTCTTTCTGTCAGAGAAGAGGAGGATGATGGGATTGTCCGACTTCCTGACAGATGTGGCCAGAAGAGAGCTGGAACATCTGGACGCTCGCATTCCCTCCTGCTGCGTCATCTACATCCCTCTGGTCTCTGAGCTTTACACACACACACAGCTACCAGTGGATCTGTCAAACAACAACATTATACTTACTCATCTGGGTTGAGCCCACATATACTTATAATCTCAGATATGGTGGAAACTGAGTCTATGTTGCACCTCATTCTTAAATTACCCTCACAGATTGGATTCCTGCTGTCTGTCCCTCGCCTGCCCAGCATGGCGGAGAAGGAGGATTTTGAGATAGAGGGGCTTGATTTTATGGTTTGTAGGATCTTGTCAACATGTCAATTGTGTTAGTTTGCATTCTTCAATGTAAAATCCTCATGGGAGGCTGTGGTTGAGTGGATAGTGTGCTGGACTTTGAATCAGGGGGTAGCAAGTTCGAGTCCCACTGCAGTCAGCATGTCGTTGTGTCCCTGAGACACTTCACCCCAGATTGCTCCTGTGGGGATTGCCCACAGTACTGAATGTATTTAAGTAGCTTTGGATAAAAGTGTCTAATAAGTGAAATGTAATGTTGTTTAATACCTTTGCCTTGTGGAGTAGTTCCTGTCAGAGGACCGTCTACACTACCGCAGTCAGAGAACCAAGGAGCTAGACGACCTCCTAGGAGACTTGCACTGTGACATCAGAGGTCTTTAACTTTTTAACAAACAGAATCTTTATCTCATTATTGTTTTCCTGGATTTTTCATAAATTACTTAAACCACTAAAGGCATTCCAGTTACTTTAACTTGCTTTATATCTTGTTATTGTTCATTTGTAAATTCAACATGTATATTTTCTACTTTCTTGTTTATTTCTAGTCTTTTAATTTGTGTTGTACAATGACATGTCTTTTTACGCTGCCGCAACACAAACATTTCCCAAAATGGGATCATTAAAGTACTATCTTATCTTATCTTATCCCTCAGACATGGAGACGGCAGTAATGACACAGTTGCAGAACGCAGTCCTCGAGAGGAGCGCCTCCCTTTACAAGGTTAGTGAGCATCGCTCCGCACACCCGGTGACAGATGGTGCTCTTGCTACATGCTGTAAATGCACATTTTATTGTGATTTTTGAGGCGAGACTGAGCATTACGTTTGGATGATGAAAATGTGTCATTACAATATTTTAGCTCTGGTTTAAGTGTTCTAGCTATTGCAGCTTGGCAATTAAACTAATGTTAGAGAAGCAATTTGTTTTACTAAGATAAAGACTTTCAGGGTTATAAAGTTTTATTGAAGTGATCATTTAACTACCAGATGTGTAATGTGTGTGTGATGCAGGTTCTGGATCTCACTGCTGAGCTGGACTGTCTGATGGCCCTGAGCAGCGCCTCCCAGGAGTACGGCTACACCTCGCCCAAACTGTCCAGCCACAGGAAGGTCTCCATCACACAGGGCAGGTTGGCATTCACACACTGATGGAAACTCATTAAGGAACTTTTTTTAGTTTAAAACTTAAATTAACATTCATGTCATGTAAGCTAATCTACCAATACTTTGATTAATAATCACATACAAAATACACATACCCACACACCGAAGCATTTGATGTGTACGGTCCTTGGGCACAGACGTTTGTAGGTTAATAGCGTATCTTTGTGTGTATTGTGCATCTTATTGTTCCTCGTCTGGCTCCACTGCCTTCTTTGTGGTTGTTTTGTGTCTCCTTGTAGTTGTTTGATTTACTTTCCAACTATAAATATGAATTCAAACAGGCGACGGTCCAGCTGGCCGTCGGCTCCTATGGCCTTCCTTTGGGCCTGTGCCCAATAGGCCAATTCAATAATCCATCTGTGGTTGTATTCAGTTAGAGAGTGTAGTAAAGTACCCATGAATGTCTGTATTTGTATGTCTTCTAGACACCCGCTGTTAGAGTTGTGCTCTCCTGTGTTTGTGGCCAACTCCTTCCAGAGCTCAGAGTCACACAGCAGAGTGAAGGTCATCACTGGCCCCAACTCATCGGGCAAGAGCATCTACCTCAAACAGGTGAGGCAAACCAGCCCACTTATTTCATACTACCAACGTTTATTAATGACTATGTTTTCCTCCTACTTTCATTTTCATCAGATCAAACTTTTAAAGGTGAAACCACACCCATATGTATGTGTCATGCACACCAGCAAACTAATATTATTTTTGCTCCACCCAGTGCTGAGCTGTGTTCAGGCAAGTGGTTACTGCGAAACCAAAGCCCAGTGAAACTATATAAGTGAGATACAATACTGATTACAAATCTTCATCTTCTTCATTATCCGCTTTTAAAAACTGTGTATTCAGCTACAGTGGTTTCCCCTTTAGCAGTCTGCTGTCAGGATGGCATGCAGATATATATTGTCCCTTTCAACTATCTAACTTAATTAATTATGGGTATCAGAAGAAGCCTTGAAGCTGTCATTTGCAATTGAATCTTAAAAACCCATTTAGAGTGCAGTAATTAAGGGTGACAATAGGGTGTCCTAATGAGAATGTCTTCATTTTACCCTCAGGAGGAAGTGTGTCATCCAGGCTGATTTTAAAATCACAGATGTGTCTTAGTGCTGGGTTATATGAAGAAAATTAAATATCACAATATTTCTGATAAAACCGTTTTGATATAGATATTACGAGGATATTGTTGTTTGACTATTGATGCTTTCATAACCTAACATATTTACCTAATTGAATTAGTAATGTGGATATAATGAAAAAGTGACTAATACTAATAGACCTGCTGGAACAGTTTTGTAGTAGTAAAAGTTCATTTATTTAATGGAGTGCAGCATTTAACAATATCTAGTCAATATGATGTCTATATGGCCCAGCCCTTCTGTATCTCTGCTCTCCCGTTTGGTCAAGTTCACTCATCATCACTCATCATCACTCATCATCCATCATCATCCATCCCTGATCTCTTCTGATTTGACTTGTCAGGTTGGTCTGATTGTGTTCATGGCTCTGATTGGCTCAGACGTACCCGCGAAGGAGGCGGACATTGGTCTGCTGGATGGGATTTTTACCCGCATGCAGAGCAGAGAGTCTGTGTCTGTTGGCCTCAGCACCTTCATGATAGACCTTAACCAGGTACATAACACACGCACTTTGTATGCCCATAAGTAACTCTGTGTGTTTGTGTGCGTGTGTGTGTGTGCGTGTGCATGCGTGTGTGCGTGTGCATGCGTGTGTGTGTGTGTGTCTGTCTATGTGTGTGTGTGGTGTGTGTCTGTCTATGTGTGTGTGTGTCTGTCTGTGTGTGTGTGTGTGTGTGTGTGTGTGTGTGTGTGTGCGTGTGTCTGTCTGTGTGTGTGTGTGTGTGTGTGTGTGTGTGTGTGTGTGTGTGTGTGTGTGTGTGTGTGTGTGTGGGTGTGGAAATTCAAGTTATGAACTGCCCTCCCACTCCACTCCAACTCTCCACCTGCCATAACACACACATTCTCACACAATAAAACCAAACTTTGTCTCTATTCTCCAGATGGCCCATGCAATCAACAGCAGTACTGGCAACTCGTTAGTTCTCATCGATGAATTTGGGAAAGGAACTAACACAGTAAGCAAAAACCTGTTCCAGCACTTTGTGAACTAAACACATGTAAACACATAACAAGGACAAACAGGGTTGCGAATGTGAGGCGCCTGAAACCAATTCCAGACGGCATTATCTCATTTAGAGCAAACGCACAACAGACCTTCAGCCCAACATGTGCCTCCTGTCAGCAGAAAACAGCAGCAGCTGCTCGTTTACAGAGAGGTGTTAGTCTGCACCACCTGCAGGCAAGAGGAGAAATAAAGACTTTAAAGACTGCTGAATTTCATTTAGTTTCAAATATATTTCTTTATATTTCAGAATTAGCAGCTGGTGTTCATTTCCTGCTGGATACTGGGAAATGTGCAGAGCATCATTTTGTTCCTGTCTGCAGAGTTACTCTAGAGAAGGTACACACCGGTTGTTTGTTCCTAAAAGACAAACTGGTGTAGGATACAGAGGAAAGAAGAAAACTAAAAATGATAATATACTAATACCAATATTTTATTATTAGTCAATTATTATTATTATTATTATTATTATTATTAGTCCATTTTTTGAACATGTTCAAAACAAATAAAAATAATAATAATAATAATACAAATAATAAATACTTAAATTGTTTCCTTCATGTTCAAAAGGGGCAAGAAGAAGTTTCTGGTCCGACCCCCTCTAGCGTACATTGTTCATGAAAATAAAAGTTCAGGTCATCGTCATCAGCATCCGTGATATTTGATTCATTGATTTAAACAAATCATTCCTTTGTACAAAGCAAACGAAAGCAAATACATTTTAAAACGACAAGAATTAGNTTCATGAAAATAAAAGTTCAGGTCATCGTCATCAGCATCCGTGATATTTGATTCATTGTTTTAAACAAATCATTCCTTTGTACAAAAACAAGAACAAATAATCTTTACGGGTAAACCAAAACCGTCAACGACAAGAAATAACAAGTTCACTGGTCCTGCTAACCATTCAGGGTTTGGTTTCTAAATCATTTTCTATAGTTTCAATATGGGTCGAATAAGTTCCATCCTAGCGGATTCTCTAAAGGCTAACAAAATGTGTTGTCACAGCAACAAGCTGAACTTGAATTATTTTATATCTGAGTATTTCTAGTAATATCTGCTGGACAACAAAAAGAAACCGAACTGTAACTGTTACATTCTTACCTGCAGGTGGTGTATGTGTCACATTTAGGCAAATTTTGCTTTTTTTTCTGCCTCTTCGGTTGTTGCGTGTCAAACCTGTCTGACCTCACATTTTCTTTTGTTGTTTCTCCTCTTAACTTTCGGATATAAATGAAAAACGCCCACTGTCAAAAGTAAAATGTAAAATGCTCCTCTTCAGGTGGATGGACTGTCCTTGCTGGCTGCATCCATCTCTCACTGGCTGAGAAAACCTCTGGGGGAAGTTCCTCATGTCCTGCTGGCCACTAATTTCCACAGTTTGCTGCAGCTGGGCCTGCTTCCCTCCTCTGGCCTGCTCTCTCTTCTGGTACTGAGGATTAGAGCAACACAATGTAGCCTGAAGCTTCTTGTTAATGTTCAATAGATGTTCATGATGATAAACTAATGTGCTGCATGTTGACAACTTCCAACTTGTGTGTGTGTGTGTGTGTGTGTGTGTGTGTGTGTGTGTGTGTGTGTGTGTGTGTGTGTGTGTGTGTGTGTGTGTGTGTGTGTGTGTGTGTGTGTG